CATTACAACCACGAGTCGACCTTACCTTGCATAAACTTACAATTAATTACAGTAAAAGCAGAGATTCTAAATATTAAAAATTCATTACTTCCTATTTTACTGCTACTGTGTTCTTAAGGTTATTTATGTGTATTACAGCCATGTATTATTATATAGAGACATAAACAGGAAATATTATATTATATTATGGTATGCTACTGAGAGTCTCTGCTATTCTACTTGGTCAAATCATCTCTTTAGCCTCAAATTTGTGAGGGTGGGAATATTTACACACCGAAATTGGCAGGTGCTGAGGCCAGCAGGTGGAATGGTGGTTAAAATGCTGGACTTCCACATAGCTGCTCACAGTTCAAGTCCTGCATCTGGCAGCTTGAAAATCATGCCAGGTGCGTGTGCATACATGCCCAGAATGCCAAGAGGAGAATGGAGGGGAAGGGATTGCGGTGTGGCCATCCACCCTGTGGCGTGATGTCTCACTTTTCCTCTCTCTGTCTTCTCTGGCAAGTGCACATGCCCTATGGCAAAAAAACAAACAAAAAATTTACCTAATTTATCTATAGAAAAGTAGTTTTCTTGCTTTTTTTAATAAAATTATTTAGTTGCATTTATTATCATTTTATAATTTGCTATAGGGCACACGTGCTCTCCAAAGAGAGACAGAGCAAGCGAGAGAGAGAGAGAGAGAGAGAGAGAGAACGCAAGCTACCAGGTCCAGGACTCAAATTGCAGGTGGCCACATGGGAGTCCAACACCTTAACCACCACCCCGCCTGCTGGTCCCTAGCAAAGTGGTTTTCAAACTTTTCCTTTGAGCAGTGGAACTCATCTTTTATTTATTTATTTTTAGCTTTTATTTTATTTGTTGGAGCTTATCTTTTAAATCAGATGTCATGTGGGACCCTGCTCTCTAAGATAGGAAATCAGAGCTGCCAGGTGGAAGGGGCTTCCGCGGGCAGCCTGCGGGTCGTGTGCCGCAGAACCCCGGTAGTCAGTGTTCGTGGAGAACGGTGGGACTCGGTCACGAAGCTCGTCTTCACCTGCCCCGCTGGGGAGCACGCCCACTGTGCAGAGAGGGCACTGGAAGTGTGTATTACATCGGGGTCCTCCTGTGGCTGCGGGGCCAGTCTGTGGTGCGGCGGTTAAGGCACTGGATCCCACATGGCCAGCCACAGTGTTCAAGTCTCAGACCTGGCAGCTTGAAACACACGCCAGGCGTGGGCACATGCGTGCAGATCCTGAAGGGGAGAAATGGAGGCAAATAGAATTGTGGCATAATCATTCTTCTCCTTTTGTGTGTGTGTGGGGGGAGAGGTTTTTGCCACAGGGCGTGTGTGCTCGCCAGAAAGACAGAAAGAGAGAGAGAGACAGAAAGCGAGAAATCACCCCCCCCCCAGGGGTGATGGCCACACTGCAATCCCTTCTCCTCCATTCTCCTCTCGGGATCTTGGGCACACCCGCACAGGCGCCTGGCATGAGTTTAAGCTACCAGGTCTGGGACTCGAACCGTGGTCAGCTACAAGGGAGCACAGCGACATAGCCATTACACTAACTGCTGGTCCCTCTTTTCTTTTTTTAAAGAATTATTTTTTATTTAACTTTATTTGCTTGTTTATTTACTTATTTTAATTTGACCAGAGAGGGATGGAGTGAGAGCGAGAGGGAAAGTGAGAAAGCAAGCCGCCAGGTCTGGGGCTCAAACCGTGATTGTACATGTGGGTGTCCAGTGACCTTAACCACCAGGCCACTTGCCGGCCCCGCATAACCATTCTTTTTTTTTTTTTTTTTGGAGAGATTTTCCCTGGAGGGCGTTTCTCCATTCTCCTCTCGGGATCTTGGGCACGCACGCACACGCGCCCGGCCTGAGTTTTAAGCCACCGGGTCCGGGACGCGAACCGCGGTCGACTACGTGGGAATCCAGCGACATAGCCATTACTCTAACTGCTGGTTCCCACATAACCATTCTTTATAGGGATTGCTCTCTCCTACCTCCCCCTCTCTCTGTGTGTCTCTCTCTCTGGTGAATACATGTGCCCTAAGGCAAATTTAAAAACAAAAAAAACTTATTTCCTCCCAGTGGGGAGCTCTGGCCCCTCCCATTCTGAGCAGGCCGCCCTCTGATCTGAGCTTCCAGTACTGCTGCCTGGCCTGATCCTCCAGGCCATCTCGCACAGGCTAGAAGCTTCTGTGAGCTCACGGCCACCTCTCCATTAATTCAGCGTCCCTCAGATTTGCCTGGGCTGGGCTGGGCGCCCAAAGCTGGGTGTAGAGAGCTTTGCTCAGGAACAGCATGCAGCCTTAGAGGACAGCTGGGGGGACGGCCCGTCAAAGCAAGGTGAGCTGAAGGAGCAGACAGCGCTGGCCGAGGACAGCGGCCGAGTGCCAGAAAGCCCACCTTTGAGAGTCATGCCCGAGAGGGACGCTCAGCTCTGCTTTCGGCTGGTTGGCCTTGGGAAAGTTGCTTAACCTCTCTGGGCCTTAATCTCCTCATTCCTAACTCCTAGGCTTGTAGTGAAAGTTAAAGATGATATGTAGCCCTAACAAATCCCGGGGTCACATGTGGCTCAGTCTATGCCCAGAACTCACTGTACAGGTCATAGTCGTGGGCCAGCTGGTGGCGTGGTGGTACAGGTGGCTGGATCCCATATTGCCAACTGCGCGGTTCAAGCCCTAGACCCACATGCCCAGAATCCTGAGTGGAGGACAGAGGAGAAGGGATTACGGCGTGGCCGTCCCTTCTGGGGGTACTTTCTCACCTACCCCGTACCCCAGTCTCTCTCTGGCAAGCACAGGAGACTTATAGCAAAAGAAAAAAAGTAGAAGAAGAAAAGAAGAAGAAGAAGGAGAAGAAGAAGAAGGAGAAGAAGAAAAGAAGAAGAAAAGAAGAAGAAGAAGAAGAAGAAGAAGAAGAAGAAGAAGAAGAAGAAGAAGAAGAAGAAGAAGAAGAAGAAGAAGAAGAGGAAGACGACGTCATCTAACAGTGAACTAACCCAGTCCAGACGGCAAACCTCTGCGGCTTTTCCTCACGCCCTACCTCGCTCCCTCCCTCCACACCACTGCCACTTGCCTTTTTAGGTTTTGACCATAGGGCACATGTGCTCGCCAGGGAGACAGAGAGAGGGGAGTGAGAAACCCCCCAGGAGGATGGCCACGCCGTAATCCCTCCTCCTCCATGCTCCTCTTAGCCTCTTGGGCACGCATGCACATGTGGCTGGGGTGAGTTTCCATGCTCCAAGTTCGGGACTCAAACCGCAGTAGACCATGTGAAAGTCCAGTGCCTTAGCCACTGTGCCACCTGCTGGCCCACTGCCACCTGCTCCAGGTCCAGCTTTTCTCACCCTTCCCTGCCGCTGCCGTGTCACACAAGATGGGAGCATTTGGAAACAGCTGGTGAGATGTGGGGGACGCGGGTGGGGAGGGGTGCGGCAGGCCCTCTGAGATGCGGTGGTGCCCCTGGCTGGGAAGTAGGAACCAGAGGTTGCAGGGGCGTGGCGGAAATGGGTTCTCTTCCCCCTGCTTATTCAGGTGAGGACCGGCAGCGGGTGAGGTCTGACCCACCAACAGCCCCCCCCACCTGTCTGCCCACCCACCCACTATTAGCAGACGGGCAATGACTGAAAACGCTGTTGGCCTTCTCTCCTCCAGACCCCCCAAAACGCTGGTGCAAACAAGACCTGGGGAGCTCCTCACTCCCAGGGAGGCTGGAGGGCTCAGGGGAGTCCCAGGGCTGGTTCCCAGGCCGAGCTGAACACACCAGGCATGACCGTGTGCGTCTGTGGCCCTAGTGGGGCGGCGGGGGCAGAGGGCTGTGATGTGGGAAGGCCCTGTCAAAAATACCAGAGTCTGTCTCTTCTCCTCTTCTCTCTCAGAAAGGAGAAAGAGGGAGAAAGACCTGAGGGATGGAGACCCAACTCTCCTGCAGTCCTCCTCCCCTGCTGCGTTTGTAGCCACTGAACTCAGCTCTTCCCACACCCATCCACAGCCCTCGCCCCATCCGTGCATGGACTCCTTTCCCCTCATTGTCCTGAGCTACCGATTTGCAGAAAAGGATGACACAGCCCCTGCCCTTGGTTGCTTACAAACAGAAAGAGCCTGCAAATCAGACATGCTTGTGTTCCTGGGAAGGGAAGTACAGAATGCTGTGAGAGCACAGAGAAGGGGCTCTTAACCCTGGGGAGATCCCGGAAGACTTCCTGGAGGGGGTGTCATCTAACCTGGAGGATAATAATTGCTATCCCATTGGGCGTTCATTGCGATGATAACCCCCTCACTATGCTAAGCGCATTAGCTCCTGTAATCATCACAACAATGCTAAGAAGGAGATGTTGCTGTTCTTATTGTAGAAAGGAGAAACCCAGGGCTCAGAGAAGTTCACTGACTTTCTTAAGGCCACATAACTAAACGGCGCAGAGTTGCCGCTCACACGCAGGCCTGTGTGACTCCAAGACCATGCTTGCAGCCCTGGGGCACTGTATGGAGACGTGGAAGGTGCCGGCTGCACACGGATGCCCACGGGCATCGTGGACGGGATAGTTCACATCGGAGTGTGTATGGGCCCAGCGCCTCTCCTGTCTCCTAGGGGAGCAGGAAAAGAGCATCCTCCCCATCCAACCTGACTGGCCCCTCCCCGGTGGTGGCAGGGAGTGGGGGAATGGGAGTGGGTGGGCCCTGGGTCCTGGTGTGTGCGTGCGCTCCCGGGGCTGCTGCCTGACAGCTTTGATCTGCCCAGTTGGACAGTAACTCTTACTCTCTGTGTTCCTGAAGAAGGGGCCCTTTTCCATTTGCACAGGCGTCATGGGACAGACAGTGGCTCCCGCACTGCCACGTGGAGTGTGGAGCAGGACGTGGCCGCACTGCCACGTGGAGTGTGGGGCAGGACGTGGCCATAGAGCTGCTGGCCCAGCCCGGCCTGCACAGCAGGGACCTCGAGGACCTTCCATTCCAGGTGAGAGGTCGCCCTGGGGCCATCGGACTAACCCCCATCTCGCTCGCTCTCTTCTGCAGACCGGCAGGATCGAACCCAACTACCCCAAGGTCTGCGGCCACCAGGGCAATGTACTGGACATCAAATGGAACCCCTTCATCGACAACATCATTGCCTCATGCTCGGAGGACACGTCGGTGAGTGGGAAGGGGCTTCCCTGAGGACGCGGGCCTCCCTTCTTACACTCCCCACGTCTTTGGCTTTCTCCCGTCGCCTTGGCCGTCCTCGCAGCCAGCCCCAGGAGGGCGGGGAGGGAGTTCTGAGCAGGACTCAGGGAGGGACCCAGGAGTGTGAAGGCTCCCACCTCGAGCCTTCAGTGTGACTGAGTTTGGAAGTGCTGATTTTGTAAGTGAGAACTAGAACAAGAAAGTAAATGTGTGATTCTATACTTGGGTGGGTTCTCAAAAGGAGAAGGGCAGAAGTAAAATATGGAAAAGGGGGAGGGCCAGCCGGTGGCAGGGTGGTTAAGATGTTGGATCCCACACGGCCGACTGCATGGTTCGAGGCCCAGACCTGGCAGCTAGAACACACCAGGCATGTGTGTGCATACTCAAAACCCTGAGACGAGACTGGAGAGGGAGGGGCTGTAGTGCCGCCTGTCCTCACTGTCCTCCTTTGTCTTCTCCAGCAAGCACACACACCCTTAGCGAAAATAAGACTAGAGGAAAAAAGAAAAAAGGATTTGGACAAAGGAGGGAAAACCGGTGGCTGGGCCTTGAGGAAGCAGCTCGGCTTCTTTGCAAGCTGCACACGGGGACATTCCAGCTGGCTCGTTCTCTGAGCCATGGCCTCTGGGGAGGATCACTGGGCCACAAGAATGGCTGCAATTTGTTCGTGGACTCACCCTTGTGGCCCAGAATTTGAACTTCCTGTTTCCCACCACTCGATGGGAAGAGAGAAGAAATAGAAGGGAATTCAAAAAGAGACAGGGCCTACCCCACCCTCTGTGCCAGCAAGAGGCAGAAAAGAGGGAGCAAGGGCAGACTAGCGAGATGGGGGAAGGAGACAAGAGACTTGAGAGGGTGAAGAATCCAGGAAAAGTGAGATTTGAAGTTTTTTTAATTGTTAGAGGATGATCACCAGAGAGCCGGAGACACAGAGAGAAAGAGACGGAGAGGGAGAAAGTGTGGTGTGGGCATGCCACGGTCCTCCTCCATCTCCCACTCTTACCAGGATTCGGGACATGCATCCATGCCTGGCATGTTTTTCAAGCTGCCAGGACTGGGATTTGAACTATGAGTTAGCCATGCAAGATCCAGCTCTCTTAACCATTAGGCTACAGGGCCAGTCCTGAAGCTGTTTCTGGCCACTTTCTCCTCAGGCTCGGCTGGCTTTTACAAGTAACAGCAGGGTAAGAGGCACCCGGAGGACTTTCCATGCTGTCCCCAGGTGGCATTCAGCACACCAACCTGAAAGCAAGAGGGGGTTTCAGAGCCTCCGTTGAGCTGTCAGGAGTGTCTTGGAATTCCCAGGTGAAGGGTGACCAGCCTTTTAGGCAGGCCATGAGCTTCTACCTAATGCTCACTGGCATAGCCTGGGTGCAGATCCAATTCCCAGGATACAGGCACTGGAAGCAACTTCGGAGCTCCTGTCTCCCCATCTTATCACACTGGACTATGAGCTCCTGGAAGTAGAAGCCATGGTTTGTTTTGCTGTGAAGATCAAACAATAAATATTTAGTAGGTATTGGAGAGGACAGATAAATGGAGGAGTGAGCTGTTGGATGGATGGTTGGATGTCTTGTTGGGTAGATGAATAGATGGGTGGATAGATGGATTGGTGGATGGATGAATGAATGGGTGGATTGTTAGGTGCATGGGTGGATGGTTGGATAGATAGATGGATTGTTGGATGAATGGGTGGATGTATTGTTGAGTGCATGGATGAATGGATGAATTGTTGAGTAGATGGATGGATGGATGGTTGGATGAATGAGTGGGTGTATTGTTGAGTGTATGGATTAATGGACGGATTGTTGGGTAGATGGATGGATGGTTGGGTTGTTGGGTGCATGGATGGATTATTGGGTAGATGGATGGATGGATGGATGGATGGTTGGATAAATGAGTGGGTGTATTGTTGAGTGTATGAATTAATGGACGAATTATTGGGTAGATGGATGGATGGTTGGGTTGTTAGGTGCATGGATGGATTATTGGGTAGATGGATGGATGGATGGTTGGGTTGTTGGGTAGATGGATGGATGGTTGGGTTGTTGGGTGCATGGATGGATTATTGGGTAGATGGATGGATGGTTGGGTTGTTGGGTAGATGGATGGATGGTTGGATGGACTGTTGGGTGGATGATGGTATTGATGGATAGAGAGATGATTGAATGGATGGAAGATGGATAGAGAAATGGATGGAAGGATGACTAGAAAATGACTGGATGGTGGGAGGACAAATAGGTGGATAAATGGAAAGATGAGCCAATAGATGAGTGCACTAATGTAATCCAGTCAATCAGTTATCCAAAGGACAGTTTGTAGGGTTGGGGTGAGGTTAGCTGACACAGTAACTAGCACGTGAGACAGTAGTGGGGAAGGATCTAAGACGATACAGTGGGCTTGACCAGCTCCTGACCATCAAGGAGCAGTTCCTGGGCAGCACCAGGCAGGCCTGTGTGGGTGGACAGAGAAAGGATGCGTGGTGAAGATGGTCATCAGGTTGGCCACTGTCTTTAGCAGCCCCAGAACCACAGTGATCAGGGGACAGGGATCCAGGGTCAGGACCTAGGCAGACCTGAGCTGCAGAATGGGGTGGGAGCACAAGACAGTGGAGCCTAGGAAAGGTGATGAAGCTGGAGAGAACACCAGGAAGGCAGATGAGCTGGTGGGGACTGGGGAGCTCAGTGGTCAGTGTGAGAGAGGGCTGGGCTAGTGGGGGAAATTTTTTTTAGAGTGGAATGCAGGGAGCCCAGGCAGGAGTGCAGAGACCACGGCTGAGCGGCTTTCACCAGCCAGCAAGGAGCAGACACCCCAAATCCAGCACTGCCTTTTACTGAGCTCCTCCCCCATCCTGGCACTGCACCCCCAAACTGAGGGTTAGGGGCAATTGAGATCACAGAAGTAGAGCAAGGCCTGTCCCAGGCCCGTGCTCTGCGTGCCCCACCACAGGAACAAACACGCGAACCCCACAGTGCTCCTGGCCCCAGCGGTGAACACTGACTCACTAGGGCGTGATCCGGGAGGTGATGAGGCCAGTGTCCATCTTGATGTGGTGGGGGATTTGGCCAGGACTCCTGGGATATCTGCCACCTTGGCCCCTCCTCAGGTCACATCTTCTGCCTGGATTAGGGCCAGATAGGCCTGCCCTGTCCTGGCTCGGCTCTGGGTGGGCCCTGGGACTCCAGGACCCTGGGCGCGTGGACACAGGCTGCTCTGCGGTTCTGCCCGCACTGTGAGAGCACAGTCGTGGGTATCCTGGGGTTCACAGAGCTCAGCCGCGGACCTGGTAGACCACAGGTTGGCCCCCCTCCACCATGTCCCAGTGGGGGGCCGAGGGCATGTCACCTCTCTGGGCCTCGGCTTTGCTCGCCTCCGGGGCAGTACTACCAAGCCCTCCCTTGGGCCATTGCAGTGCGGACAGAAGGGAGTCTGGGCCTAGCCCTGTGCCTGGAGCCTCACAAATGCCACCAACGTCAGCCCCACTCCAGAAACACCAGCACAAAGGCAGGGCCCACCCCGCTCGCCGAAATGCGAGGCAGAAGGCAGGTCGTGCCATCCACCGGAGGCAGGGGCCGTGTGCGAGCTGCGGGGTAGTTCTGACGGAGGTGCGGGGAGGGCAAGGGAGCTTAGGGCAAGCTGGAGCTTGGAGAAATCAGGGCTTTGATAGCAGGAAAGGGGTTCAAACGGGAGCCAAGGGTGCCGCTGGTGAGGTGGGTGGGGAGGAGAGGAGGCCGCGACAGGAGGTGGGGACAGAGAGGCAGCTTGGGGTGTGTGAGCGGCTGCACTGTGAAGCGAGGCCAGGCTCCTCCGCCATCGTGCAGCGTGGGGCGTGGGGCTCCGTCCCCAGAGAGGCCAGGGAAGGAGCTGTGTTGATGGGGGTCTCAGCTGCTCCGTGGAGGAGGTGGGACCTGAACTGGGAGGACGCTGGGTGTGGGCGAGTGGGGGGAAGGGAGCACCAGGGCTGGGAACAGTGGACGCCCAGCTTAGGGCGCAGGGCGGGAGGAGCTGGCCCGAGGCTCTCGGTCCAGAGACGAGGAGATTACGTCTGGCTCAGACAGGAGAAAGCTATCCCCAGCTGCCAGGACAGCTGTTCCAGGAGCTGCTCAGAGCCCCACCTCGCCCCGGGCATCTGCCCCTCCCCAGCCTCTCCTGGAGAAGGGCATACTGAGACCCAGGGGGAGCCTGTCTTCTGCTTTCGCAGGGAACACACTGAGGTTCGGGCCCGCAGCAGAGGTGTGGACCCATCCTGTACTCGAGGCTCACCTCCTAGCACCTTCTCTGTGCAGGGCCGTGCCGGGCCCAGGGCACATACAGGGCCGGGGGGTGGGGGAGGCCCAGGCTGGCCTGGGAGGGGCGAGGCATGGAAGAGTGGAGTGGCAGCTCCTGGGTGTGGGTGAGACAGCCTGTCCACACCACCATGCTCTTCTGACCGGCCTCCCTGCCTCCACCTCCACACCGCAAGGCAGGCCCCTCTGGCCAGCAGGATGCTGAGACCAGGAAGGGGTGAGTCGGCAGAGCCCCTGTGTGCCAGACGGGGTGCTGCGTGTAAGGGCTGAGGGCCTAGCCCAGAGGCACCCGGAGGGACTTCATCCCAGCAAGGCTGCCCCCGCCCTGTGCCCACCTGCCCCCACCCTCCACTGCCCTCTCCTTGTCCCTCAGCGTTCGGAGGACACTGCGGGACCCCGTGAGCCCCCACCTCCAGCTCAGATGAAACCCATGCCCCTGTCCCTCAGCCATCCCTCCAGGGGCCAGTGGGGTAGAGCAGCCCCTTCCCCAGGGGCCTCCGTGAGGGAGGGTGGAGGCCATAGCTCTCCCTGGCATCTGGCAGAACCCAGTTCTTTCCGCCGCTGGGTGATGTCACCTATTGTTGCAGCTCGTGCTTTTTATAGCTTCTGCTGCAGCCGGGAGGGCGCTGGCAGGCGACAGGGAGAGGCGCTATCGTTTTCCAAGCTCGGGCTCCCAGTCCTTCT